GGGTCGTGCCACAGGCAAAATTCCCAGCACTATACAAAGAGGTAGCAATCTCGTCCCAGTATGAGTTCACATCTGATGGTGGAGCATTTGGAAGAGACTCTAGAAGACGATTCTTGTAAGTTCGTCTGACATCTGGATCTGCCAGTCTTTCAGTTGCCATGCAATTTATCCGCACCTTACACGACCCCGGGAAACGTAGGGAGAAGCGACTCCGGAGGAGCGCGTGGTCAGAGTCCACAAATGTGTTCCATTTGTGCTCACCATGTACTCTCACACCTCCGGAATTCCGAGAATACAAGGAACCTATTATGTTTTTGAACGGCCGGTGCATTTGATGTGGAAAATTGTCAAAGAGTACCGATCAACTCAGTCGAATATGCCTTTGCATTCCAGGAATATTCGGGAATACTCCTAAGAACTCACTATCAGACTCTAATACCCGTGGTGTTGAAGTGCTCCTGTAGCGTTCAGTCACACATTTCGAGCTTACAGATGACACAACTCTTCTTTGATCTGACGCTACTGTACTGCACACAATATTAAATAATCTAAGTAGATGTGCCTCACGGCATGCGCCTCGCACCTCCAAAGGTGCTACTGCAAGAGTGGGTTGACTCGAACCCCAATCTCATGCTCTCGGGTGAGGCGATTGAGCTTGGAGAGATGTTTGCCTACTTGAGTTGTTGTATCACTCTCGCTGGTGTCGCGAAAGATGATATTTCCATCCGGTTAGGGGAGGCCAGAGCAGCTTTTGTTAACCTGCATCTACTATGGCTTAGGCGTGACATCAGCTAACCCGTCAAGGGCGAGATTACAGTGATGCGGTGTTTCCAATATTACTATACGGGTCAGAAACGGGAGCGCTGCGCGTCCAGGACATCAAGTCTCTCATTGTTTGACCACTGGTGTCTTCGGAACATAGCCTGAATCTGTTGGGAACAGTAATGTTTCGAATGAGTCGAATGGTTTTCCGAAAACGTCGCTCATCTGTAACATCTTCCGGTGCCCAGCTGCAATGCTGCCCGAACGGAACACCAGGGTTGGTATACTGTCAGAGTACCAAAGCCTAGATAGGGGAAGTTGAGAGGTAGAGTTCGGATTAGAACCAAGGGTTTTTCGGTCAGTAAATTCGTGCTCCAACCACTTGAGCCCTGTAGTCCCTTTCCGAAAAATTAACCCACCCACAATAGTTATACTGATCACACTCTATAGGTTGCGCTGCTTTGTCACATGCTCCGCATGCTAGTTGACCGACTTCCTCGAAGAATCCTTTTCGCGTACTTCCTGAGAGGTGGAATCTAGTCAAGGGAGGTCAAACAATTACTTGGCAACGAACTTTGGAAGCTATCGCCAGGAATTTCAGCTGTGCTGGTCATTGCCGTCTTCCTGGATGGGTAACCCGAACCGGGACACATCAGTGGTTAGGGACATATTCAAACGTTGCCCAGTCGTGCTCTCAATGGCACATATGCATCCGAGCTGTTACCTTCAGTACATAGCTCCGTTCCCAATATCTCTACTTAACAGCCCAATGACAACCCTGTATTTAGGCTTTAAATATATGAGCTTCGGTTTCCACTGCGCAGCTACCTACCGCACCTTTTCAAATCATCGGTGAATGAAACTGTGGGAGCTGGAAGCACTGTCCGGTGAGTAAGAGGTTCTTACAGCTGACGATAATAATGATGATGAAGATTAAGACGATGATGCCGACCACATGGTATGCATCTTAACTCTGATCACGCCAATATGTAGGCCCACTTATCACTTCGCTTTCCTTCAGAATTACGCACGCCAAAGTGGAGCAACTTAATTAGTGAACTTCCACAGTACCAAATTGATCTGGCTCATGAAGAAGAGAGCCTGGATGTTGATTGGAGGTGAACTGCAGAGGTCATAGTTTCGGCTTTCAGAAATGTCTTTTCAAGCCATCCGACTCGACCAAATGAATAGTGGATATGTGATTGAGGTCAGGGGATCACATTACTGATGTGAAGGTCATGCTCGCGACCTGAAATTATGATATCATCATCGCTGACACCATGCCATTAGCGTTCATGTCCGAAGGCCATCCGTCCCTAATAACCGAACATCACATCATTTGAGTGGTTGTGTCACGTGCAGGCTACGGACCAAACAAGGGCATGCCTTGATTGGTCAGAATGCCGGCCAATCTGGATCGATCATTTTTAGCTCGGCACTTTTCTCCCCCTCACGGAGATTCTAGTTTGATCTTGTGGAACATTCTGCGATAACCCTATAAATACGGTTGCAATAATCTTCCTCTCTCTCCACAAAGGGCTGTCTGAAGCTACCGTGCCTTTTGATATACCATAATCGGCGGAGCAGGAAACCAAGGTCGTGCAGAGTTGCACGACCTTCCAGCAAGTCACAACAGTCGAACTCCGATGCCTCGATGCTGAACAACCATGATTTATTAAAAATCCTTACTGTGATAAGCCCGACCCACCAGACATTCGGAGCCAGTGACCAAATCATCGAAACCACTTGGCTCCAACGGGCCAGCGTGGCCCGGGGACGCAAGGAATGAAGCATTACTGTGTCTTTACGGATACAAATGCGCACAAGTCCCTTTTGATTTGCACCCGGCTGCTGGATTTTAAAATTATTTGGGCCGTATTGAGTAATACGCCGGCAGATTCGGTCAATTGTTGGTAATGGGTGTGCGCGTGTTTTAGAACCGACCTTTTCTAAACCGTCCTTCCTCGAGGGAATTCAGCATAGGTGCTTCCATAAATATAGGTATGCTGGACATCTGAATGAAATGTCTTGCTGCCTCCACACCCCTATCGCATAGGGCTGTACAACTTTAGCTCCAGACCGCCTCACAATACGCAGACTCGCTGTTCTCAGTCGGGCTGCTCTCTGTGGCTCGCTCGGCTTCCTGATGTGGTTTAACCTTGGGGAACTGAGTTCCGGCCAATATAGCTCGCAGGATCGTTGCAGTCCCTTAGCCCGATCGCCACGACAAGTTGACAGCTTCAAGTTGGGAAGGCTATTCCCCATAAGAACCATGTTTAGAATTTAGGTGACCCCACGTTTTCCGGATTTTGTACTCCATGTTTTTTTAGTCTGCCTAATAGGAAAAAGATTTCAATTTGAAACCAAGCTATGGTTGCGCCAATGCGTGCTTCATGTGTTCGTGGGGTAATATTCACTGAATACCTCATGCAGGCACTGCAGTAGCATGTTGATATTTTTATTAGACTGACTCATTTCATTGTTGCCGTCTTCACCAATACTTTTATTCCAAGTTTTCTGTGCGCTGGTTACTTTACCGACTTGGCCCTTGATTTAATGTTACTTCACTGGCTGTGCGTAACCAACTCGACCATAACTTCCCCTTATGTTGCGGCATTATCGCGTCGTCACTGAATCATCGGAATCACAATAACGAAACTGGTATTCATATTGTGGTTTCATAGTGTGGGGGCGAGATGGCCCAAGTGGTAAGAGCTCGAATTTACTGACCGGAAGGTCCGCGGTTCGAATTCGACCTCCGCCACTCCACTTCCCCCGTTTAAGCTTGGGCAACCTGGCAGTATCCAAGCCCTCGTGCTTCCTTCGGGTGGCATGGCAGCTAGGCATCGAAAGGGTGCTACAGCTGAACCCTTTCTTTTCTAGTGTATGTGATGTGGTTTGTCCAGTACCAATGGTTACGGCAGTCCAATAGGCATTATACTGTCTTCTGATCGTGGACTTCATTCATTTGCATGCACTTTTTTCAGGCCAGCGCGGTCTGTGTCACCGATCTGTGACAAGCAGGGCGGGCGAAAATGACATCGGATATCGCGAAGCGACAGCGAACAGTACCGTCGGCAAAAGCATTCGAATTTAACTGGCGCAGGCCGGTACCCGATGTGCTACAGAATGGCGCTTTCTTTGATCGGCTTGATGAGGTATGTGAACTTAGGTTTTTGCCGTCGCTGTACACTACCTACTGTCATTCTTGTGGCTAATTCCTATTGGTACTTTCTTTTGTAATCAAATACCTTCGGATAATCAGTAAGTAGAGTAACCCTAACCAATCTATGGGACCGTTAGATAATGTTAACACTTGGATTGGTTATATGTGTTTCGTTACTGAAACGTCGCAAACTAACCTGTGTAATATATTTGTCCGAATTCGCGCTGCCTGTGGGTGCTGTCCTCCACCAATAGAGAATTGCTACTGATAACATGCATTCAGTTCGGTCACATACCAATGAACCATCAAGTAAAATGTCCTTTTAGAGCTCTCCCATAGTACATCCACAGCAGTTTATTATCTTCATAAAATTTTGGGCGACGTTTTTTGGAATAATCACAACTCATATTTTGACCGAATTCTGAGGAGTTGCTGTTTTTTTTATTTGTTTGTTGAAGAAGAGTTCGGCAACCTTGTGCGAATAGAGCGAAGTGTGGGAAATATATGAACATGAGGTTGTTCCATAGCCCCACTTTCAGCGTCTAGTTAGTTTTTGGTGGCGCTTTCAGTCCAAGGTGCTTGTCGAAAAATGCCACGAGAATTGTTCGACCTATCATCTCGTTGATGACTCGCGTAACACACGGGATCTTTTGTGTTTACTCAACGCAAGACAAGTTCTTCGTCCTATCCGAACTACAAAAACTCGCAAGTGCACTTTTTTTATTTGTTGTTGAAGAAGAGTTCGGCAACCTTGTGCGAATAGAGCGAAGTGTGGGAAATATATGAACATGAGGTTGTTCCATAGCCCCACTTTCAGCGTCTAGTTAGTTTTTGGTGGCGCTTTCAGTCCAAGGTGCTTGTCGAAAAATGCCACGAGAATTGTTCGACCTATCATCTCGTTGATGACTCGCGTAACACACGGGATCTTTTGTGTTTACTCAACGCAAGACAAGTTCTTCGTCCTATCCGAACTACAAAAACTCGCAAGTGCACTTGAATACCGGAAAAATCTGGACCATATAGTTGCATTCTCATGCGGGAGATGTCCATCGATGCACCTTATCCTTTTACGCTGCATAAAATAGATTGCAAATATCGGCCACTGTGAAATATGTTGCATATTGACTGGAGTCTCCTCGTCGGGTTTGACCAGACAGAAGGGAATTCTGTATACGCAGTAGATACTGGTGGTGCAGTGTGTGGCCATCACCATGCTGTGCATTAGTCTGGCCGCTGTACTTGGCTAGCAGGCTCGACAATTGACTTGAAAGAGTGGTATGTGTGAGGGCCGGCGAAAGTACCTCCCGGCTATTCGAATTCCAATTGTTTGAATACTTGGAACCCTGCTGTACGATCTGTTTCTTCCGTTCAGTCATTTGCTTCAGACACTTGGTGAAACTGGACTTGTATTCCTCAACGTTTCATATGTTTTCGGTTACGTGAGGCATGTGACCCCCATGATTCAACTACTCATTTACCCATCACTGACAACTAGAATAAATTTTCTAAAAGAAACATTCGCCGGAAGTTCGCCTGAATGTTTTTTGTTTCTCGGATGCATAGCTTCAAATAAGTCACGAATTATTCTCCATATTTTTGCTTTTGTTTTTTAGCGACTTACTAGTGTCCGTTACTGATTTCACTGGTGCCCCTCGTAACAGTGCCACGCTTCTTTAATACATCTCTTACCTATTCTAGCGATCCATATCCCTTCACGTTTTTGGTGATTACGTGCAGGTCAAAAGACTTGTGGGAGGTTTCCATCGGAGTTATTCTAACACCAATCGAACGCCGTCTAACGCAGTTACAATCGGTCCTTCTTAGTTTCTACACCTAGTCTTCTCCCTTTGCGTATGCACATTCAATTTCACTGACTGTAGGCTGGAATCCTTCTTCCCAGCCCTAGGGGCAGTCGGTTTCCAACCCCCCATACTGGTCGTTCGATGTTGAACTGGGTGTGATTTGGACTTCCAAAAAGTCGAGTTTTTCTTCCTTTTCCGAACGTTTTTATCATCCCAGTAGCTACTCATTTGTGGGCCTCTGGTTCATCCCGTCGTGGAGTACATGTGATGTGTTTCAGCGCATGCTTCTTTTCGTGCTTTTCATTGACCGAGCAATTTATACGAAGCGTAGTCTCGTTGCTTCGTCTCACTGACAACTCACGTCAAACTCTCCTACCACCCTTGAAACCTAATCTCTTTTACGCTATTGCAACCACCATGTTAAACGCACTACAGAACTAGCCTCCTTTCCAGTACCATTCAGCTATTCACCACACCCAGTTTCTCACTTACAGTCATCCATATAAAGTGCCAGTTCGTCGAATCTTGAGGGAATCATTTTTTCAAGAACTATTAAATCGGGAATCTCCTTCCTTTGTCTGTTTCCCAAGTTCCCGTAACGTTCAGGTATTCAAGTCTAGGGTTAACCTTCACGTATCTTAACCACCCTGAGTCTACCTCGTGTGTGTTTACTCATTATTTATAGGTTCCGTTTACTTTGGTTTTTGTTTCATTGTTATCGTCTCTACTGGGACCTCTGATTCTTTCCCCTCCATTTTTCCGTACTCTACCGATATAGCTCATCGCTACAAGTAGTCGTGTTGGTCTCAAAATAGAATTAATATGGATAATAAGGTTTGTGGTCGTATTGTTTGAGGTCCGTTAGGTTGACTTCGTAGACACACTAGCTGCTGTTGTTGATGAAACCGATGTGTTTGAACTAAACCTGTCCCACTGGCATTTTGTATTTTTCGTTTCAGAATTCTTTCTTTTATTTGGAAGAACCAGACTGTTTAGATTTGTAACACAAGTTATCGGTTTCTGTCCGTCTCTTACACTCATTAGGGATTTAGTTAACCTCTTCATTCAAGCTTTTTATAACTGTCTTTTGTTGCCTCTCTGTCAACAGGAAACAGGGACACTGGAAACCGATTGTTTCGTGCGTGTTGATCCGGATGGGTTTTTTATCTACTGGAAAACGGAAAATAGTGTAAGTCGTCCTGACAAATCACTCGCTTCTGATGGCTTCGAATTAATCGTTGCAACTATCGGTTTTTTGTCCCTTTAGCAGTCAACAATCTCTCAATAAAAAATGCTTGTTGCAGCTGATGAACAGGATACCTTCACCATCTGGAACCCTTTGGGTTGCAGAACACGATTAGCACGCGTAGTTTTTCTATGTCACGCGCTCACTTATGTTGCAGTTTTAGGTACTTGCCGTCACATTTTCATAGTGGGTATAGTGTTTTACCTAACGTTTTGGACGTTCACTGGTTTAAAACCATTTCTGTCTGAATAACGAGGCCCCATGTTTGATATTCTTTGTTTTATTTCTATGTTATCCCACACTATTTTTTTCAGGATAGCCAATTGCTAGAGCTTTCCCAAATCAGTGACGTTCGGGCGGGAAGTAAACCTAAAGTAAGTTTTTTGACAATCCTGTTGGACAAAGTAAAGCCATATTTGACTCACATCTGTCAGCTGTACACCTGACTTGTGTTACTTCATTTTGTCGGTAGCATCCTTTTATGCCTCTCAGTCTTCAATCCGTTGCTCGTCCTATTGCAGTTTCCTCTAAATTTAAAATCCTTTTTAACGTTTTGTGGTTTGCTCGTTGGTGTTTGCTCAGTTCTGATGACATGCGGTGATCCCTAATGTTGACTTCGTATTCTACAAGGCTTTCCGGCCCTCATGGGCACTCGACTTAAACCAGTTTCTATAATAAGTTCTCCCGTTACTGGACAGGAGTGGGTATTTTGTGTATTTATCTGACTTGGCCATCTGATAATCGCGAACTGGTTCCAGGACGCCTACTTCTAACTTTAAGTTCAACCTATTGCCTTCTTTTCACTGAAGCGTGTGTCCTTTGTCTCAATTGCTTCGACAGATCATAGGTTTTATTGCAGGGAGTTTGACCAAACCATGATTGAAGCCCCTCGTAGATGACTAATGAAGCATCTAATGAAGTGAAACCAAATGAGTTTCATGCTCGGTAACCTGGCCATTTTTCAAACACATTTAGACTGTTTTGCGGTCGTATGCGAATCCGAAGCACAAGTCGCCGTGTCCTTTGGCGTACATTTCCGCTGAATCATCGGTTGATTGGGGAAAGCCGCTATCAGGTCAGGAAGTGGTATTTCTGAGTCTTAGAGCACTCACCGTCCGATTGGTTTCAATTGGTGCGAATATCCACGTCCGCCTTTACTCTTTTCTTTGCAATAAGGCTTTCAAATAAATCATGGTTGTACGGTGTTGAACACTGATGTCATGCTGTCGATGATGATGATGATGATGATCCAGTATCCCTCCAAGATTTTGTTCCGATCAATGCTTAGGGCATCCCAGTCTCGAGCATGAACACTTCATCTTTTCAGATTTGAGAATTCAGGTGCGTCTAGTTTACGCTGGTGGAGTAATGCTAAGACGCTCACCCCATACGTTAGATGTCAGGGGTTCAACTCCCGTCAAAACACCGCCTGTTAGGTCTAATGAGAACGCACCTCCATTTATTGTCTGGTGTTGATTAGCTGGAATAATCGCTTCGGGACCGAAGTATTGTTCATTTGAGAATGGTTGTTAGAAGGTAGGACTTCAGACTTGTATTGCGCAGTCTTGATAATGAAGTCTTTTCAGCTATTATTAGCAGGTCCTAATTGAATTAGATTTTTTTACGGCGACGGGTCTGAATAGGCTGCTTACTTCGGAAAATCTCATCATATCACATTTAGCTGAATCAACAGACCTTACTGTGTAGTTTAAATCCATCGAAGACGTCCGGGGAACCACATATTTTATATAGTCGAGGCTTTGAAGGCTGCAGTCACGCGAAAATGACTCTCCTGTAAATCCGAAAAAAAATTTGCTGAAGTGACTTATTTTATTATTCAACAATAAAGGCACTTCCTCTCCAACTTAAGTATTCGGTAATGCACTTTACTTGGATGGATGTAAAAACAACCAACAATCTTTCAGCTGTGAAGTCCTTTTGGTGCCCGGCTGACATGTCAGACGAAGGAGATACCAGGGTCTTGATGCCCCCAGGTTGCCCAATCCTAGACTGGGGCAGTCGAGATACTGAAGATGGGCTCGAACTAGGGACCTTCTGGCCAGCCAGTTCGCACCGTACCACTAGTTGCATTTCACACCACCGTGTTGTTGTGTATGATATTGCTGTAGGTTCCTGAATTCAGTCGCTAAGGTTCATATGTGTCCAGTAATTACCTGATCTCTTGTAAATCCATTTCAACTATGAGGTTGCGGAGATGTGTAAGACGAACCGGTTGTTGCAGTAGAGTTGTGCTTACCAAAATACTGGAACACAATCTACCATGGAATTCAAACACTAGTAATCGCATCATTCGCCGGTGAAATTTTTAGTTAGTTTTTCCCCATTGTGACGGTCCTTTTCAGTGCGAGATGAACAAAATATCCGTTCACCAAAACGAGTACACTGTTGGGTCTACAGAACCTAGTCGCCATGCAGAACCCCGTGTTTCAGAGTTTTGTATCGCACCTCCGGAGTTTATCAAATCCCACAGATTACCTCAGATTCAACGATTTTTCTCAGAAGCCCAAGGGGATAGAATGACTCAGACATGTTCTTGCAATATCTGAGATGGATCGGTCTGAAAGAGTAGGGTGCCCATCGGTCACCAAATCATTAATCTATCCCAATACGACTAACAGAACCAATTAGTCCCTGGTGAAATCGCGCGACAAACAGACCACCCACGCCCTACAGAGGCTCACTTTAGTGATGGCTATCTGATGTCCTTTTTTTTACAGCACTACTTGTTCTTAAGTATCGGCATATTAATTACTAAGTTTCCTGGACCTCGTAGGGTTAAGCTTAGGTGCGACCATCTTCGCATCACCTCATACGGACCGAAGTGTGGTTAATGTGCAAACACCAGATTGTACTACATAGTTTGGTTGTTGGTCTGTTCGCCGAGCTTGGCAGAACAGACCAACAACCAAACAGCGCACCCGAGCTACCTACATTCCACAACATTGCTAACTACATAGTTACTAAGTTGATATTTTCCAGAAAAGGTAACGGTGTTCTGCCGTCCACTTTGCGAGCCATTGGAGTGGAAGACAGGCTCTCTAGGGGTTACGGTACGTACAAACTCTCCACGAGCTCCAAGAGTGTCATGGAACTATCGCTTTACGAGCCTGCTAGCCCTATGGACTTGGATGTCCGGTTTCGAGCAGGTTGATCAGACACCGGGAGATAAATTTGTGGGAATCAAATCGGTTTTCCATTCTGAAATAGGTTTATCGAATCGCATTTTTGCATTGGTACAGGTGTTGAACAAGCTTTTTAAGCCACGCACTTGGTATTCTCAATGCATTTGGCCACATTATTATTGGGTCTATTTAGATCGGATTTGTTGCCCAACTTTGATCTGTTATCGGTTCTTTTTCATGCTGGGTTCATGTTCTCAATGTACGTAGTAAGCTCAGTTGGTAACTTGTCATTTTTCTAGATTTTTATCACGCCCTCTATCCGAGATTGCTCGTTTTCTAATCATTACTCGTGAAATATGATAGGTTGTTGCGCGGACTCGCGTTGAAGATTTTTTGTGGCTGCACAATAATCCGTCAGATACGCGTTTGCTGAGCGAAACACGAGCCGATTATCTTCTTTTCGGTTTCCACTTTTGTTCCGAATCTCGTTGATGTTCTTGATTCACACCTATTAATCTTCTCATTTGTATCGTACAAACACTCAATTAATCGTTCACACTCCGACGGATTTCCTCATTCACCGGTGCATCAATCTGACATACCGAATGCATTGTTTCAGGTGGTTTCTTGTTTCCAATCTTCCTCTCTCCATTTCCGTCCCGTGGCACACTGTCAGTATTTAGGGTCCGGTCGACCCAGTTAACGCCGCAGTGTAATGGTCTGGGAAGACTGACGCCACGTGTCCTAGAAACAACCGTGGATTCTCCAAAGTACTTCGGCCTACTGGAATGTTGTCACGATTTGTGTTCGTTCTATTTTGCCTAAAATGCATACAAAAGGAGTAGGACTGACCAGTTCTCATTTTCGCCTGTGAATCGGTTGTTCCATTGTCGGTTGTTTATAGAAACTAGGTTAAAAAACTCTGGGCGCGTTTTGGTATGAAATATGAATGTGCTTCCTGAATGAGACTCCAGTGGATATAGCAGGATTTATTAGCAATCTTCACCGTTTATCGAGGCGCCACACGACCACTAGGCACGTTCGCGAGCGTGGTAGGGGTCGTGAACGAAGTTGACTTGTTGTCTTAGCCTGTCATTTGAGATTAGTCAGAATAATTTAAGCACCCAGGCGAAACCAAGACGTCACTCAAGTTCATATTCGCCGTGCGGTTAGTGACCACGTGATGCTGTGATAAATGGAAAATCTGTTAATGAAAGCTACACGCGAACGACAGGTCTCAAGCAGGAGAAAACACAAGGTAACCGTTATATTAGGATTAACCTTCAGCTTCAAGTTTCACTCCTGCACCAGGATCGTGTTAAATAGTTAAGAATAGCGCCTGACCGCTTTTTCATAGTCCTAGTCCCTGTGAAGTTTCGACCCATGGACTTAACTAAAACTTCACCTTATTTCATTTGTTGGGGTTGGCAAAAGTTCTTTTGATGCGTGCTGCTGAATTTTTGAGTTCAGTCTTATAGCCTCGTGATTGACAGTCGAACATCGTCGCCGCCGGTCACGTGACCATGTACTGTCACCACCAGAGTCGCTTTCAACTCGCGGTAGCCTCGCCCCTTTGTTCGCTTGCTTTTCCAACCATTGAGTTTGGCGAGGGAAATGGGACGACTTAACAATTGAATGAGCAACTATCTGGGTGATTATTTTCTGCTGTTGGGCTTTTCGTAAGACGACTCTGAACGAAACTTTCGTTTTCCGTGCCTGTCGCGAAGTGAGTGATTTTTCCGTGATTTCTGCGTATACTCCCAAATGAGCCTAGTTTGTACCAAATTTCATGAGTACTGATTGGTTGCAGTTCATGTGCGGGGGGGGGGGCACAATAGATAAAAGCTCCTCTACTTTATGGTGAATGTGGTCGCCTGCTGGAACTAAGTGTACTGCTCATCGTTTCCGCTGGACGTATACTAATTATGAGTACTTTGGAACCTACTATTCAGACCAGAGACCGTCATGTGTGAATGAGGCTCATATTCATCAGCACCATGTCCATTAGCCAATGGTTGGTCGGTTCCTCCGTGCACGTTGGCACACGTAGACAGGATCCAGCCAACTTAATTATATGCGCTAACGACGTAAATGGGTGAGGTGACATTTCAGAGTAATCATCCACCGAATTCAGGAGGGCAGACGCGCTGTCACAATATTTATAACTTTTTCAGCTGTAATGCAGCAGTGGTTTTGGTTCGCGACAATATATCGTTAGTTTGGATTGTCTTAAAAAATGAATCAACCATTTTTAAGGGTTCTTGGGCTTGCTTTTATGTACACATTTGTGTGCGACGCAGGATACTGTAGCATCTTCACGTCATCCGTCGGTAACTATTTCATTGTCGTCCACAAAGGGCTTTTCCAAGCGGAGTATAAACACAATATCACGATTACATCACGAGACCAAATTGTTCCACAGAACCATTGTGTGCGACAGGAGAGCGTAATCCAAGTGATTCCGTCGCCTATCATCAAACCGTAGACAATAATCCTTTTGAACTACTGCCAAGAACGCAGCAACCTGCATTGAAAAACGCGGTACGCTACGCTGGACTGCGATAGGTGCGTTATGTGACCCACCCGTCATGCAAGCTACAGTGTTTTCCACTCATCGAACCTAAGCTCTCTCCCAGCCCAGTGGCGGATTGCTTATGTATGACCAAAGATGCTTACGTATATTAATGAGAGCCAGCTGCCTCAGTGCTTACATGGAGTTGTTTTTGTTAGCGAAGTTGTCTTACAATGACCAGTATCGTCTGAGTAGACCAAAGTCCGCTAAATAGACTACAACAAATATTGGGCTTGAGGCAGTTGGAATGGCAGTTGGAACTGAGTCGCGTTGCTTCTAACACCTCTGAATCTGGAAAATAACCGGGTATTGTCATGCTAAAGTTTCTTTTAATTTCACTCGGTTGTCAGCACTGGGTGGACAACCGGGCCCTCAGAATTCTCCGTTTTGGTAAACTTTGTCTACGGTAAAAAGCACTGATCTGGAAAATAAAAGATTCAATCCTTTTGTTTCATGTGTTCAGTATGACAATGTGACAGTAACCACAAGCAACTTAACCTCTTGTGTATAATATTGCTAAATGGAATGTGTGCACGAAGACCGACACTTGATTCAGTTGGTACACTATTTGAGATATCATATATCGTATATCTTGACGGAACATGCTGCTCATACTGCTCGCCTACCTGATGAGTCCTAAGATGTGGGATACCGGTGTGACGGTGATACTACTGATGGGGGAGGCATGCGAGTGGTATGTTTTCTCGTGGATCCGCTTTGCATCGCTTGAAAAGTTATATCTATTACGGAATTTATGGAGTCGCTTTGTAGCATTTACTTGGATTTGAGCAACAGTCAGTTATATTCAGAAAAGTTCAGGAAGACGCGTTCAAGGAGGGGATGGGTATTTAGTTTTTGTAAACAAGATGCATATGAGAGTTTTGCTTCCTTATCCAATAGTCTGTAATTGTTCAGTTGGCGTTTTCTAATAAATAACTCTGCAGCGAAGGTCTTCCTTTCACCGATAGTGGGCTGTCGGGATTTGGCAACCTTGTGAGTAGTGTACTCCTTCAAGAAGGCCAAAATTCATTCGTAATTTCCTGCACAGAAGAGCGATTTTGACCAGTTCCATGGATGTTTTCCCTGAAGAGGGATCCTTTTCTTATGCACTATCATTCTGTCAGCAACGTCCTGTTTTCAAACGGATCCATGTTCGCATTAAAAAATGAACATGTAGCTCTCAGGATATTTATGTGTGGTTTTCGAGGCATTTCGATTCTTAAGGCGAGAGCTTCTGCCTAAAGGTTTTGCGCATCCGATCCACTTGTGTGTAGGCTTGGGCTACCGTAAGTATCTCAGTTTCCTTTGGTTTGTTCTGCATCTATCATCCGTTCCGAGTTGACAGATGTAGTTTGATAACGGGTTTAATGTTAACGAGAACTAGTAGACTTAGTTTGCATATCAAAGATAGCAATTACAGTCAGTCAGCTGATGGAAAATTAACGGCCTTAACTCTCTCTTTGTCGGTCGAGCGATAACTACAATATGTGCTTCTAGTATTCAATCAGTTTTCTATTCCTGAATGACCACTCTATGACTTTTGACAACGTAGTCTCTTTCCGTATGACCAAATAGTTTGCACCAGTCATAGCCGTACATGTGTGCTTAATGGACTCCCAGTAGTGAGTATGAAGGATTACCGAGGAGTTTTCAGGCTGGCTACAACCTGTAGATAAGATCGGTCACATGATCATTTGGCTGGCCAGTATCAGCTGTTGACCTTGAGAACATGCGTCTATGGGTTATGTTGTGCCTGTCGGACTCGTAGCTGTTTATTATGAAACAAAGTGAGCAGGTACAAGAAATGTCACACACAAAAAAGGGTTCATTTGAATCATGCTTCAAAATCTAGGTCTCAGACGTACTTCTGAACTTTCCTGGCCTTTGTCTGAATGTTTGACGCCGGTGAAAGAACGCAGTCGAATAAGCCAGTGATTTTAACCCGTTGGTTGGTTAGTTGAAGGCGGAGCGTTTCGGATGTAACAGATGTAACTCCCAACTCTGATCAGTGATATGCACCGTCACACTGACATACAAATGGTAGCTTATATTGATGAAGTTACGGACTGGAGATCATTTTGGATATGAGGTTGCCTACAGTGCTCGCCTCACATAGCGATGGTCTTGTGCACTGTCCCAGGACCTTGCCTCATTATTGTTTACTATGACGGGGTAACTATTCTCTACCGGAAGCTGGATGCGTCGATTCGTCTGCATAGAAAATAAATTAACGCGAATGGTTGTATTTTTGATTCGGAATCTTGAGACATTAAAAAGGCGCATCGGTGCTTAGCTGCCACGCCGCCCGAAGTATGCATGAGGGCTGAGCTACTGCCTAGGCAGTCGGGATGCAGGGGTCTCGTTCGAACTATGCATTTTTCGGTTAGGAAGCTGGCGCCCTAACAACTGAACTATCTTAAACTTTTGTCACTGTACCATGTATTCAACCAAATAATACGATGTATGCATTCCAGGCAGTCTGTCAAGCAAGCCAGGTCATTCATCAAGAGGCTGTCGGTTTTATGGGATAATTTAGTACAGGTGACCTTGTCACCAACCACTTACGCGACGAGTAACGGTACATCTAATTAAGTCCCAAATAGCGTTAGTGTTCCGCTGTCTTCCAACGTAGCCAGTACGAGACTTAGATTTTTTTTCTAGTTTGGTGACTCGAAGATGTTTTTTCCCCAAGAGCGAGAACACGGTCTACAAAGGTTGTATTCTCGTTCATAGAATGGTGTTTTAGTTGCTTTCTCATCGCAATCTCACATGATTGTCGATTGTCGACCACTATCTTTCGCTTTTTACGATACACACTGACCTCTTGATGGTATCTATCAATTCCCATTTATGTCTGAACCGAAATCGCTGGAAGGCATGTTGTTTTTAATCACACTTTGATCCGCTCACGTCCGTCTATCTGCATCTTTTTATTTGAGCGTTTGCAGTCTGAATCGGTTCGATTAATATTCTCTTGTTCCGACCACCTGTTGTCTTTCGCATACGATGTTTGTGTTCGAACCTTGTAAGTATGTGGCTGGCCATTACATGGAATTTGCTGGCGCACAATCACCTAGAGCGTTCGATGCGTTTCTTCATTTATGAGCTGTCGAATGCTGGCAGAGGGATAGACGTAAATCACCGGTGGTTTATGATTTCCGCCATAGCGGATTGGAGCAAAGAGCTTGAATGGCGTTGACGTCAGCATTCAGGTGTGCGAAAGGAATTGCAGTTTACCTTTGTGGAATTACCCGCCACTTGGTGGTGTTGCACGATTGACCGAAAAATGAACGGCTGTTGATAAGATGCCTTATCAACCTTGGTCAGCGCAACACACTAGTTACGATACGCAGAGCATGCACTTTAAAAATGTGGGACGTTATGATTTTCTCAGTAGCCGCCGGGCACCAAGTGGCTGCTGTTACTCGGTGGTTTCGATTACCGCCAGTGAGCAGCTGATGTGTTGGCAACTAACGCAATGGCCATCGAAATCAGTGCGAGGGCCGATCTACCAATTTTTCACATGCAAAACATTCCTGTAAACCATTCGTACATTCGCAATATTCGTCCATTCATAACCGATTGGATGACATGTAGCCGGCCGGTTAACTTTTGTTAACACTACCTGGTTCCCGTAATGGATAACCAAGGCTCTTCTGGAATGCCTATTGCGTATGAAGACCAGGTACCTATCCACCTTCCTTTCACCGATAGTGGGCTGTCGGGATTTGGCAACCTTGTGAGTAGTGTACTCCTTCAAGAAGGCCAAAATTCATTCGTAATTTCCTGCACAGAAGAGCGATTTTGACCAGTTCCATGGATGTTTTCCCTGAAGAGGGATCCTTTCTTATGCACTTATCATTCTGTCAGCAACGTCCTGTTTTCAAACGGATCCATGTTCGCATTAAAAAATGAACATGTAGCTCTCAGGATATTATCGTGTGGTTTTCGAGGCATTTCGATTCTTAAGGCGAGAGCTTCTGCCTAAAGGTTTTGCGCATCCGATCCACTTGTGTGTAGGCTTGGGCTACCGTAAGTATCTCAGTTTCCTTTGGTTTGTTCTGCATCTATCATCCGTTCCGAGTTGACAGATGTAGTTTGATAACGGGTTTAATGTTAACGAGAACTAGTAGACTTAGTTTGCATATCAAAGATAGCAATTACAGTCAGTCAGCTGATGGAAAATTAACGGCCTTAACTCTCTCTTTGTCGGTCGAGCGATAACTACAATATGTGCTTCTAGTATTCAATCAGTTTTCTATTCCTGAATGACCACTCTATGACTTTTGACAACGTAGTCTCTTTCCGTATGACCAAATAGTTTGCACCAGTCATAGCCGTACATGTGTGCTTAATGGACTCCCAGTAGTGAGTATGAAGGATTACCGAGGAGTTTTCAGGCTGGCTACAACCTGTAGATAAGATCGGTCACATGATCATTTGGCTGGCCAGTATCAGCTGTTGACCTTGAGAACATGCGTCTATGGGTTATGTTGTGCCTGTCGGACTCGTAGCTGTTTATTATGAAACAAAGTGAGCAGGTACAAGAAATGTCACACAAAAAAGGGTTCATTTGAATCATGCTTCAAAATCTAGGTCTCAGACGTACTTCTGAACTTTCCTGGCCTTTGTCTGAATGTTTGACGCCGGTGAAAGAACGCAGTCGAATAAGCCAGTGATTTTAACCCGTTGGTTGGTTAGTTGAAGGCGGAGCGTTTCGGATGTAACAGATGTAACTCCCAACTCTGATCAGTGATATGCACCGTCACACTGACATACAAATGGTAGCTTATATTGATGAAGTTACGGACTGGAGATCATTTTGGATATGAGGTTGCCTACAGTGCTCGCCTCACATAGCGATGGTCTTGTGCACTGTCCCAGGACCTTGCCTCATTATTGTTTACTATGACGGGGTAACTATTCTCTACCGGAAGCTGGATGCGTCGATTCGTCTGCATAGAAAATAAATTAACGCGAATGGTTGTATTTTTGATTCGGAATCTTGAGACATTAAAAAGGCGCATCGGTGCTTAGCTGCCACGCCGCCCGAAGTATGCATGAGGGCTGAGCTACTGCCTAGGCAGTCGGGATGCAGGGGTCTCGTTCGAACTATGCATTTTTCGGTTAGGAAGCTGGCGCCCTAACAACTGAACTATCTTAAACTTTTGTCACTGTACCATGTATTCAACCAAATAATACGATGTATGCATTCCAGGCAGTCTGTCAAGCAAGCCAGGTCATTCATCAAGAGGCTGTCGGTTTTATGGGATAATTTAGTACAGGTGACCTTGTCACCAACCACTTACGCGACGAGTAACGGTACATCTAATTAAGTCCCAAATAGCGTTAGTGTTCCGCTGTCTTCCAACGTAGCCAGTACGAGACTTAGATTTTTTTTCCAGTTTGGTGACTCGAAGATGTTTTTTCCCCAAGAGCGAGAACACGGTCTACAAAGGTTGTATTCTCGTTCATAGAATGGTGTTTTAGTTGCTTTCTCATCGCAATCTCACATGATTGTCGATTGTCGACCACTATCTTTCGCTTTTTACGATACACACTGACCTCTTGATGGTATCTATCAATTCCCATTTATGTCTGAACCGAAATCGCTGGAAGGCATGTTGTTTTTAATCACACTTTGATCCGCTCACGTCCGTCTATCTGCATCTTTTTATTTGAGCGTTTGCAGTCTGAATCGGTTCGATTAATATTCTCTTGTTCCGACCACCTGTTGTCTTTCGCATACGATGTTTGTGTTCGAACCTTGTAAGTATGTGGCTGGCCATTACATGGAATGTGCTGGCGCACAATCACCTAGAGCGTTCGATGCGTTTCTTCATTTATGAGCTGTCGAATGCTGGCAGAGGGATAGACGTAAATCACCGGTGGTTTATGATTTCCGCCATAGCGGATTGGAGCAAAGAGCTTGAATGGCGTTGACGTCAGCATTCAGGTGTGCGAAAGGAATTGCAGTTTACCTTTGTGGAATTACCCGCCACTTGGTGGTGTTGCACGATTGACCGAAAAATGAACGGCTGTTGATAAGATGCCTTATCAACCTTGGTCAGCGCAACACACTAGTTACGATACGCAGAGCATGCACTTTAAAAATGTGGGACGTTATGATTTTCTCAGTAGCCGCCGGGCACCAAGTGGCTGCTGTTACTCGGTGGTTTCGATTACCGCCAGTGAGCAGCTGATGTGTTGGCAACTAACGCAATGGCCATCGAAATCAGTGCGAGGGCCGATCTACCAATTTTTCACATGCAAAACATTCCTGTAAACCATTCGTACATTCGCAATATTCGTCCATTCATAACCGATTGGATGACATGTAGCCGGCCGGTTAACTTTTGTTAACACTACCTGGTTCCCGTAATGGATAACCAAGGCTCTTCTGGAATGCCTATTGCGTATGAAGACCAGGTACCTATCCACTGCATTTGCTTGAGGATCAGATATCAACTGAAATCTATCATTATCGTCAGCTGCTTTGTACTTTAAAAACTGGCCCAGGTTACTATTTTTTACCGTCTGCGGCTAATGTGGTGCGCATTGAAATTATGGACACTCGGACCTCCACAGTTACTCACTGGTCACATGATCGCAGCACGAAACGTAACCTTCATTTCCGACGAAAACCGTCGGACACCCAAAAGAGATTGTTAAATAATGGTTGTGAGCTTCCTAAATCACGCAAGCTCCGACACTGTTCCGTACTGTCTGATAATAGATGGTTAAGTTGATTTTTGATGCGTTTCAGTTCATATATCTTTAATTCGACGAATCATCATTTTATCCGTCATCAGTTAATCGAGATGTGAGCTCACTCAACACTAGGTTCATCGGAACCTATACTACCCCTTTATATTTGAAGCGAGACAGGACTTGACCAACAGTTGATGCAGCTTGAGAAAATTTGTTTAACGACTTGCTCCTCAACAAACGGAGTATACAGTTTCACAGTTTAAGGGGCATTTAACGGGTGCTCGAAAGATGTTTACAATGAGTTAGAGCCCTTGGGATAAATTGGTACTTTGACCTAGCTTGCAGAGTTGCTAAAAAGCTGTTCTGCGCGGAATCACGGGTGGTTAATTCGAAATGGTCCATAGGGAAGTCTCCCTTTTTACTGGCCACAAGTCTGTGCGTGTGGTCGAATCGTTGAATATAAAGGGTATGGCTACTGTTCTTGTGGCTTGTTCCCATTGAAGCTAGGGCCAAATCCATGGAATGGAACAGCAGATAGTTCTACTGGAATAACCTCGCCAACCAGTTGGTTGCCAGAAAATATGACCACAAGTCCCACCACTACCCACCATTCAAAGGAATGTTCCATTTGTTGACCGATAGTATTCGAAATTATGACGGGCTAAATGTAACGCATCTTTTCCCCCGCTCCAAATTAGGCTGACTCGTCGACGTTGCTATTGTTTTGTTAATTTCGGAAGTAAAGTGCCGTTTGCTATTTCCCCACGCTGAAGTGAATTGAAGTTGCCACGTTTTATGACATTCCACATATAAACTCGCTTTATTTGGTGAATCTAAAGCAATTAAGCCATTTATGATGAATCTCATTGAAGATGTACGGTAGAGAACATTCTTTATTCGTTCAGCTGTAGCGCCCTTTCTGTGTCTAACTGCCATGCCGCCCAAAGGTTGCACGAGGGCTGGGATACTGCCAGGCCGCCCAAGCCTAGACAAGGGAAGTCGAGAGGAAGAGGCCGGGTTCAAACCACGGACCGTTTGGTCAGTAAATTCGCGCTCTAACCACTTGGGCCATCTCGCCCCTTATTGGTGGTACCTGTATAAGATTTGTAACTCACAAATGGACCCTCACAAAGGTTAGCTGGAATGGTGAGCGCGGAACATTATTCAGGTATTTTTAGGCCGGTGTTTTGGACCACATATGAAATTCTATTTTTGGCTAACAGGTTTTTTTAACCGTCACTGGGGAATCCATGTATATCGTTGTGGTTGGGTATTGGGAAATCCAAAAAATATTCGGGTCATTAATCAGAGTTGGAAACGTAGCACTTCGTTTAATCTCATCTGCCACGCTACCGAAGTTACATGTTCATCCCCTACAAATTTTAACGAGTGCAATGAATGTGTCAATCTATCATGTACTTCGGTTCCACTGTAATAAATTTGTTTTGTTACGATGCATAACTCCAGAGGGTTGCTCACAAAACTATAAATGTCGCATACAGTCAAGTTCAATAGCTTCAAAGATGATTTACTTGAATTTGAGCTGATAGAGTCTGCAGACGTTTAACGTCAGCATTGCGCTTCCTTTGGAATTGACCTCAAGTTTCATTCAGTAGTAGCCGAAATTGGGCAAGCAGTTTTTCGAAGCACTTACTGTGTGAGTTTTAAAGGTAGTTGAGTCCTCCCACTTTTCTCATACCGGTTGCTTTGTGCATTTTTATCTTTCTGTCTCTATATTTCTCGGTTGTTTCTAGGAAGAAAAGTTGATCGCACAAATCCAAGAGCGTGGCCCTGGCAAATCTTGGGATCGAATAGTTACCATATGCAGTGGACTGGATCTAGTCAACATTATCTACACACACATGATCGCACCAGAACCAGAAACTGCTGCGGTATGTGCGCGTGATGAAGTTTGCCCGCATCGGTTGCTTCGTTTTATGTTTATCTTTTTCCACCAACGCTTCTCTATCCTAACCAAAATGGTTAGCGACCGATTGGTATGTTGAAAACAATGAAGCTGGTCATGAATGTAGTGATCGGGCAACTCTACTAAATCTCAACTAAGACCCCACTTACTCGAATACACTAAGAAAGACTGTTCAAGACGAGTTTTTGGTACACTCCGTTCTTCATTCAGTATTACTGAATGCCATATCGTCTACGACGTTCAAGACGTTTTTGTCCCAAACACGATTGGTAGTCTTGGTCCTCGGTACGTGTGGTGTAGCCCCAGCCACGGCATGGTGGGCAGTTGATTAACCTGTTCCCCACTCAAAAGAAAACTAACCTGTTCTTTGCGGATATGTTGTTCAAGAGTTTGGTTTGGCCGGTGAAACGGTAAAGTTATCGAGATCTGAGATGCAACTTCAAGTGGTCAATATCTTGACAGCGGACAAATTTGTTACGAATCTCTTCCTTTTTTTCAAAAATGGGGCAGGTATATATTGCGGGACTCGAACATTTAGGCACTATTCATTGGCCGTATACAATTTAACAGATCAAAACGATTGACCTGTGTTAACACGTGACGCGTGTAAATCTCGGTAACTGGAATACAGGATCCAAGCGCGGTTGCCAAATTTGTGGCAAACTGTGGACTTCGAACGGTCTTGCAGCTGCGGTTTGGGGCGGTGTTAGTGTAGTCCTGTGTTCGTGATCTGATGTTTCATCGCCAGACTGCATGCCCTCAAACAACTGACTATGCTGTTCGGCTTTGTACTGCGGTGAAAACTCTCACTGATCGAAATCCTATGCCGTCTTTGTTCATCGTGTCTCATCGAGGTACAATGCGCTGTGTCTGATTTATTGATAATCAAGCGTCAGGAACTGACAACCTCGTGGTCCACCACAAAGAGCTCGGATGTAGTCATCGTTCGTCGTTAACACCCTTTCGGTGAGTAGGTGCGACGCTACTCTGAGGAAGCTGAGGTACTTTCAGGTTGCCCGTGCGTAAAGAGAAGCCGTCGAGATGGCGGGGTTGGGTTTGAACCACGAACCTTCCGTTTAGTAAGTTCGCACTTTAACCACTGAGCTGTCTCAAGCTCGTATATGGTTATAATAGCAGGGAATTTTAACGCTCGGATTGGGCGTCTCGGTCCATCAGAAGCAAGCCTTAGTTTAGTCTGAACGCAAAACACAATGATAATGTTGTGGAATGTAGGTAGCTCGGGTGCGCTGTTTGGTTGTTGGTCTGTTCGCCGAGCTTGGCAGTTGGATTGCAAACGTTTCATCACCAATCGAGGTGACATCGTCAGTGCAGGGTTGAGTGGGGTCACTCATTCAACCACACCACTCAACCCTGCACTGACGATGCCACCTCGATTGTTGATGAAACGTTTGCAATCCAACTGCCAAGCTCGGCGAACAGACCAACAACCACACAATGATAATGTTGAGCGTCTTTCCCACTTTTGTAGTGACCACCGGTTTTTTCTCAGCATTTCCGGGTTTAGACGCCGTGGGCACCGTTGTGCTACCTGTCCTAACATTGAACCGCGTTTTGTTTTAACTGATCACATCGAAATCAGCTACCGATGGCCTGGTTCAGTCCTTGATTGTTGATCCCGTTGGAACATACTGGGTGGTCCAGATCATGCCCTTGTTCGGCGTAGACTTTCATTAAACTCTTCCGGTATGTCAGTGAAAAAATCTTGTGAGCCACAAGCCAGGGAAACACCAAATTCCACTGTTACAAGTGGCCTCCTCGGAGGACATTGACCGTAACTGAGATGAGATAACCACCGCTATATGTGACGCCGGGAACTCTGTGGTATTTCCGAGCGCATACACGGTCGCCAATAGATCTCAGGTCGGTTACTTTCCTTTCGTGTTGTGAGACGCTCTATGTCTTATGGCGCGGTGTAAAATTCATCCAGACGATTGCTTAAATTACAGCTCAATCGTAGCCTGTGTGTGGACTGAAAGGCGTGATGGAGCCAGAAAATTTGAGAAATGGAATATCCCAATACGCGTGGGGGTGGTGCGTTTCACCCAATAAACCGTGAAATAAGTATACACTTTTGGTGGATACACGTACGTCCTGGCTTCTTGTGAACTGACGATACAGAAGACGACGTGTTGATTACTGCTTGAATTGCGCCTCGGAATCTGTCACTTTTTTAGACTTTAGACTAGATCACCGAACTTCTACTAGGCCAATGTCAAGGCTTTGGTTCTCATTTTCATTAAGGACATGGTTTTTCTTTTTATATGTCCTGCTTGGTTTGTTTCTTGGGAAAATCGCCGTTTATGCCCTGGTCCATTCTCATTTAAGCAAGTGACGCGACTGATGAGATTTTTCTCTTGGGCTATGGATCAGGCTGTTGTGCGTCACATTTCTCCCAATTTTTAGGCCTTTACTACAGACCGTTTATTCATTCTATCCATTCAGTTGATGTCGGTATCGCAGGTGAAGTATCAAGAAGCAGAGTCCAAAATGTCCGTGAATACCAAACTCGAACTTATCGGTGACCTTAGGCAGTCCCTTGCGCCGTTACATACACGGTTGCCCGCTCATAGTATAATATTGAGTCTTGCTCTTGTGTAGACGTAATACGCTACTTATAAGATCGCTGAAACCTCCGACAGACCACGGCCGATTTCGCCCTTCTTCCTGTTCATCAGGTAGGCACGGTCCGTTTCCGTCAAACTTGTGTTCTACTGAAAGCGGAATGGCACGAAATTCAAATTAGGCACACGTCTGAAGACCAATGTGGTTTGGACGGGTTGACTCACCTAGAACCCAGTTTAATCTCTAGTCTAAGATCTTTACGGTTTCTCGAAGAGTTTTTGGCAACATTATGAATAGTGTATTACGTCAATACAATGTGTTGTGATATATCGAATGCCATATGAGATGGTCTGGTGTAGCACATTTGGTTTCTCAAGAACATCACAAGCGAGAGATTCATCTGTGTTCCAGGTCGGCCTTCTGTCCAAACTAAATTGTTATGCTGATGAGTGTATAAGTCAAATCTTTTTCTCTTTCAGCTCTCATTTACTCAATTTTTGCAAATATTCCTACCTGTTTCGCCTTCCTCTTGTTAATTATTATCTCATTGCCCCGATCTTTCAAGTCTCCAGTTCCATCACTCTTTAATAGTGTAAGAACCACACAACAACCTTTTGTTTCCATTCGCCCGAAGCTTGTATTGCAGCCCAATTACCGGAAGTAGTTGGTGTTTAACGTGGGTCTTAGGCCCATACATCCTCTCCTGGGATATTTATTCGTTCCACCACACGATCATATGACCCGCTCGAATAATTCCTCCGGGTATGAACATTAGAACCCATTTCCGGAACATCTAGCGAGTAATATAATCTAATAGTTTCCCGAAAGTTGTCTGTTGAACAAATATCCAGTGTAGCCAAATTCGAGGTGGCAACTGGAGGCGACATTTACGAATCCGGAAGAGAATTGGTGGCACTCGGCTGTCAGTCGTTCGCAGCGAATATTAGCTTGGCCATTGCAACAAACACGAAAGGCACATGATGTGTTGATTTCCAGTCGGCTTAGAATTCAGCTTCTCTATTGCGATAGACGTTTCTTGGCAACCTCATATAATATAACAGCACCTCATAATTTGTTAATATCGATTTTCTTCTTCAAAATCTCTTCGTTTTTTTTTCACTTGCTTAACTTGAGCACGTACCCACGTATTCATCTCACCGTGTGTCACAAAATCATCGTAGGATCAAATTTTATTCCCAATCTTGTGGCGTGTATTTCTCTGAAACTTCTTACAGGTGATCGTGAATTGACTGGCTGTCTCGGCTTTTGCGCCACACTGCTACTTGCTTCCGGATCGGTTCGATGCCACGTTTCACTTCTTTACATAATAAGATCCCTGAAGATATTTGTAGTTCCATGTCAAGGAAATATACTTCAATACCTATAATATCGTGCTAACTGAACCACGAGACGGCTTGTGTACACGCCCAGTTAAAGAATATCACGAATGAGGGATTCACTTGAGTCAGCACCCGTCAACTCCCCAGAAGATGCTTTACTCTGTGATTTTTGCTTTCTCTTATGTTTATCTACGCTGCGCTAGCGATTTCACCTGGATCGGTGATGAAATGTTTGCAATCCAACTACCAAGATTGGCCAACAGACGAACACCGAAGCAGCGCACCCATATTCCGTAACTTCCCCAAGTTGTTTATATTTTACTTTGGCGTCCTTCAGTTAAGCAGGCTGTTTTTCTCCTGTCCGAACTATGTATTACATCAAAGGGCGTATGTTGGCGTTTGTTTTTTTCTCTATACTTTTCTACGCTATTTCTCCTCTCTTTTTGCTCCACTGGTTATGAACCTTCACTTAAGCTTGTATGTTGGCTTTGTTTTTTTCTCTATACTTTTCTACGCTATTTCTCCTCTCTTTTTGCTCCACTGGTTATGAACCTTCACTTAAGCTTCACCGACTTCTGCTTTCTCCATCAGTACTGGATTCAGCAGTTGCGGAGCCTGACTCATAACACCAAGGCAGTCAACGTGTGTCCCATGACACAGTTGCGCAAGCAGTAAGTTTGCCCATTTCTTCCACTGCTATAACCTTGAATAGCTAGATTTTATAGGACTGAGGGAGAGTCCCGCTGTGTTCACTATAATCATTTTTATTCTGGCTTGTGGCTATGAATGACTCAAGTTCGATTATTAGCGCTTTTCGGGTAGTATAGCTGAAAGACAGTAATACGCGCTCGCTTGACATTCGATTCTATTTGTTTTCTGCTTGCTCTGGCTAATTATGCAATCGATTAAGCTGGTAGGCCTTGGGCTATAAAATATCGACAATTTTACTGAACTGGTTCTTTGACCAGGTGTGCGTCTGACGACGCGTCTTACCAAAATGTGGTTGGACTTGCTGCTTGCTTTGCTCACCTAACAAACTTTCCAGAGCTAGGAATAACTCTTTTCAAGCGTTGCTTTCTCACTGTATCTCAGTTGTTTCTGTGCCGTAGTTGAGCTCACACGTGAATCGGATAAAAAACATCACTTTACGGAAGACTTAAAGCGCGCCACGGGAGAGCTATGACCTGCCCATCGATTTCACTTCCATTTTCGGTCTGTTTTGTAAAATTTACCGTATTTAACTTAATCGCTGCACACTATCTCACTCACACTAGTTAGATCTGGATGCCCCATGCTGAGTATTGTATCCGTCTCATTATCTTGTATGTGAGTGATTCGAATTTAGTTTTGATGAGGGACTCAGTTATATTTGTCGTTTGTGATGGTCCAAGAGTTTCCAGCAACCGTGTGAGTAGTGTGTCACGTCTAAATAATGTTCTTCATGCTTTTCGGAGACTCGCAGCGTGAATCGGCCCTAAAACACCACGCTGCGGTTGTGCTGCACTACCACCAGCAAGCCTGAACACAACCTAATCTAGTTCCTGACCCAGTGGTTGACACCCTAAATGATATGGAGATCCGGCTCTAATTATTTGGAACCAGTATTCCAACTGTGTTACACACCAACGCCATTATGTGTTAAGCAGAGGTGATGGTGATTGCGTGGGTGTCCCAGACATCGCCATTGGCACAGCTCGATCAATTTCGAATCAGACGTTTCAGATACCTTGGAAAATGCTTGATTTCCCCGATAAACTCTTCGTCGCGTCATTTGATTGCATTTTGCGAACAAGTGAGTAACCCTGAAATGTCTAATTATGAAAATGCTGACGATTCTGCCATCTAGTTGGGTGAAACTGCTTTGGTGCCTTGAGGCACTTCCGATACCACCAGAATTACAAAAGACATGTTTTAGTAGGTACTGGTAAACACCCACCTCCAATACACTGGCGATATCACGAGACTGACGATAAAACGTTCGCCCTCAAATTACTCAGCCAAGTGGACGAGCCAGCGACCACTAGATGCTTGAGGTTCATTAACACGAATGGTAAAGTTTCTGCCTTGTAAATTTGGGACTTGATAAGCACCTCAGTGCATCTTTTTGTTTTCATGTGAACCGGACTTTAGATGAATGCAATGAATAGTCTTGGTCACCCTCCAGTAAATCCACAAAGAGCCGGTAGATATGACACCCCTTAGTTACGAAGGTACTACCACCTTTTTCCATGTGAGGTTCACCCTGCTTTGCTACTCATCCGTAACCAACGTTTAATATCTGCACTTACTGCATCTTGTCAGAATGTATTAAGTCTTTCACATAACAACTGTTTCAACCACGTCTAGCTGGATCCGTCTCACTTTGAGTGTCAACCCGAAGAACAAGATACCCGTCCGTGTGATTATGAAAACATTCGCATCGGGGCGCAACGAACGTGTTGTGTTCCAGAGTTTGAAAGAGTTAGGTCTACCGCATGGCAAAGTGAGTTGGCGTGGATCTACATTGTTGTGTGTTTTCCTTTGCCACGCTTTGATCGGCTGCCTAATCGCTGTCCCGCTTATTCTTTTTCTGCCTCTTCTTTTTTTCATTCCAAGAATGATGTCATCGAACCCGCAGCTTTCCCGTTTGAGAAATTCTATGAACTCTACCATAAAATCTGTCCACGAACAGACATAGAAGATTTGTTTAAATCTTTGTAAGTTATTCGTTGAAATTTAGCTTGTAACTGGTTGGCTTTACGCTATTTATTGATTTTTAATTCCGCATGTTCGGTTGTCCACACAATTGCGTCCTTCGTTGTAGCAGCCTACTTGGGTGTGAAAAGCGAACAAACAATCCACTCTATTTGGGCTTGCCCGATAAGGAACACATTACCATACTCTTCAAAAAACAAGCACCATGCAGAAGAACCGGTCCAATTAGTTGGGCCATTGTCATTTTTTGAGATGAAAGATTGGATTGGCCTTAACGGGATCAAGCTTTAAAACCGTCTTAGGATGTCTAACCACGAAGTACGCCGTTGTTTTTATGAAGAGTGAAACAAAGAGTTTGACTTCTGCGTGAATTGAATTTGAGAATATGAGCTTGGTTGTTTTGGTTTGTTTACCTCATAGAATCCGGTTGTAGCAGTATGTGGGTTCTGGGACCACCTAATGAGACCGAACAAGAGTAATTGGTCGCTTCTTGGGGGTATTCTCTTCCAATAAAAGTTTTCTCAGAGTGGGATATCTCTGAAATGCAGGAATGCACTCAAGATC